CTACAGAATTTTTTTATGAATATTTCCTTTAGGCAGAATAGCTTCTGGAAGCTTTCTATTGACAAAAGTATTTATAACGGTCTAGATAGAAGGCCCTCTAAGAAATTGTATTTGATAGTAAACTCGGGAGTTCCACAGAACACCAAGTGTCTTAAAATTATTGGCTTGACATAAGGCAATTATGGTTTAGGATCATTGGTTATGATAGACAACCAATTAGTTTCAGAGCAAGTGATTTTTTCTCATAGAATACCTTTGACTCGGAGAACCTATAGAAGACCATTAGGTTTGAGAGAATGTAATAATACATCATCTGAAATAAGTTCTATTGGGATGATATGAGACCGACTAAAACGCGTTTAGCAGTCTAATTCAACATCTCGAAAGGTATTCTGTAGATTGTATCTTATATCGACTTCCCCTTTCGAGATATTCTCGTCGATTTTTTTCTTTTATTTACATTTGGACGAAAGTTTTTTGTTAGAAATGCCTGGACTCCGACAAGGTATTCATACCGCTCTTACGAGAGTTGCTTTGGAATATGGCCACGCTAAACGATATTTTTTCAGGAAGTTGGAAATTGCATCAATACCCAATTTTAACGTTCTGAATAGAAGTACTTGGCCTTCCTGCTTGTAAATACCCATGACGCCATAGTTTACGTATTTACTATTACGATAATCCTCCTTTTCCCCTCTTCCAGCTATATCGGAGGCAGAAATATTAACTTCTTGCAAAGAGCATAAAAATCATGCACTTCAAGTGTGGCGGAAGTCTTCAATTTGTCTTCAAATGGAAAAAATATTGACACTTCATTGTTTGGTTTGGCTTTTCTTGTATTCGTTCGTTTTTTTTTTAATTTTTTGCATTCCATTTCATTTCATTATAATGTTATTTACGTTTCATGTCAATGATGGCTTGTCAGCTCAGCATGAGGTGGTTGGTAGGTGGTTGGAAGGTGGTGGATAGGAAGAAGAGATAGGTATTCCATACTGATGACTTTGGCGACAGTCTTTCGCCAATTTCAATGGATAAACGGGCATTATTTCATTTCAACGTTTTTCAGTGTGGCATAATTAATTATGGCAAAAAGGCAGAGAATGAAAAAAAATAATAACAAAAACAGGAGAAAGAAAATAAAGACATTTTATTTGCACAAATGACACCTATAAGAGGTAGCGAATGGCGACCACTGATGACTTGAGGGGAGACCTGAATAGTTTATCGGCAAACCTAATGCGGCGTTTAAAGTGATGGCCTGGCCCGTGGTGGTGGTGATCTGCATAAAGAAACAATAACTATACGCATTGCTCGCTCTGACCATTATAGATTGTTGTTTTTGTTGGCTTACGATAATGATGTTGTTTTCTTAAAGTCGTTTTTTTCTTTAAATTGTTTTAATTATTTTTATTTCTACTTTCCTGACAAAAAAAAAAAAAAAAAAAAAAAAACGTCCCCAGCATTTAAATGGAACCATTAGGTAATATGAGCCGATCCGCGTTCATACGCTTGGGACTATTATTAAAAAGAGTTTGCCTCTACTTTTGGATTTTTATTAGCCAACTAACCACTAATGGCCAAGTTATGGTTGGATTTTTTTATTTGGGCTTTACATTTTTTTTTTTTTTTTGTCATTTTGCAGGTTTTCCTGTCTCTCTGTATCACTCACTGTTCCCATAAATGGGGAGTTTATGTAATAATTTTGTTGTCACTACTGAAGTAATTTTTGTTGTTGTTGTAATTTAATTGTCTCTGTTATGAAAGTACGAGAGAGAGTTTGGAAAGTTGGGGTTAGATTGCAGGAACATTTTGTGGTGATTTATGGAGGCTAACTCATGTTGAAATATCAGAATCTTTCTACGATTTTTTTCTTTTTTAGCTGAGGTTGAGGATTTTATATTCAGTATTGAAATGTACTTGACAAATATTACTGCAAGGGAAGTTCACGAAGTTCTGCCACCATTTCTTTCTTATGGTCTGATATTTTTACAGATGCGTGGATTTTTGTAGATGTAGTGGATTCTAATTTGAACCTATTTTCGGAAGAATTTTTTTTTATCGAAAAACTAATGTTAATAGCTATAATATACAGATGCCAGATAAGATAAATAGCATGATCTTCTGCGTCATTTTCAAATATCGTGTTATCTAAATACGTCATCTGCAATACGCTACAAATATATTTGCTTTGGAATGCTTAGACGAAATAAAATAATACGTAGATGAAATATGTGGTCTCTCGAGGTCGGTAGACCAGAATGTGTTTGAAACTTAAAAGAGTGTTCTTTCTACAGAAGGTTTACTTCCTAGCTGTAAAGAAAAGTCGAGACCCAGACCCTCAGAGGGTCCTTTAATTCCTCATATAGTACTTTATATAGTACTTGTAGAAAAACGTATGCCTGTTGAAGACCTCTTAAAGATTTACAGTTTATAGAAAACTCCACAAGATCTTCGTTTAATAGAAATCTCCACAAGAAAATTGTCCGTCTGTAAAAAGCCTCTAGAAAGCCTTCTTTCTGTATAAACCTTCAGATGATCTTAATTTTGGAGAAAGGGATTTCCAGACGGATATCGAACTTATGAAGTATGCCTTCGGAGTATTACAACCGTTAAAAACTCTGAAGTAAATATAAATCTCCCATAAGATAACTTTAACAAGTAAAGGTCATATGTCCTGTGGAAAGTCATAATTTTTAAAGACCTTAGAAGGCTTTCTGTTAAAAAAAGCCTTTTGAAAGTATTTTGTCCATAGGAGACCCCCAAAAAATGGTCTGTCTTTAAAATACTTCTAGATGGTTTTTGACTATATCAGATGCCTAGAAAACCTTCTGTCTCTTTTCCACGAAGAGCCCAATAAGGTTTTAAGATTATTTAAAACCACCAGGAGGTCTTCTGCGGGAAGAAAGTCTCCAGTCTGTCTAAATAAGACCAACAAAAGGTCAACTGTTACCAGAAGTGCTGGTGTCTCTATAAGAACTCCTATCCATAGAAGAGCCTGACTAAAATACCTCTAGAAGTTTTTAAGTCTATAGAAGACCACCCAATAACTCTACTGTCTATTAAAGCCTTTGCTTTTTGGAAATCTAACAAGTCTTCTGTCTGTAGAAGGTGTCGAAAAAATGTATCCTTTGTTAGAAAAGGTAGCAAAACCTCTGATGTCTATAGATCATTATAAATTCTTTTGGGTATATCCTGAAGCTCTTTTGTATCCGGAATACCTCTAGCATGTCCTCTGTCCAAAGTAGACCTTTAGAAGACATATTGTATTTTTACTGTCCTAAGCACATAAAATATCTGTAAAATGTATCTCTACGTAACATGTCGAAGATCTGTCTATTGAGAACCCTAGAAGGCATTCTGCAATGTCTACTGCCCACGGTTTTCAGTCCATCGAAAATCTCCAATATTTCTCCTGACTATAGAAATACGTAGGAAATTATTTTAACTTTAGAAAACCGCAATTTTCCAAACCCTCCATAAGGTCTCCTGACCATAGAACATATCTAGACTGTATTATGCCTTTAGCAAGTCTTTAGTTTCTGTATGTAGAATACTTCTAGTAGGATTTATGTCTGTAGAAGGCATCAAGAAAGTCTTCATGTTTTATTTTTATAGAGGACATCCATAGGCGTTATATTTGAAAAATCTTGAAAACCCCTCTGTCTATCGAAGAAGGTTTGTAAAAAACTCGTCTATAATTTATGGAAACTCTCAAAAATCGTATGACTACAGAAGGTCTGCGAAAAATCTTCTGTCTATAGAAGACTTCGGGAACCTATTTTCTCTACAAAGTACCCCTTTAAGTTTTTCACACTACAGAGACTTTTTAAAGATGTTCTGGAAGGGCGTCGTTCTATACAGGAGGTTTTTTTCTCGATGTCTTCTGTCAATAGGAAAGCATTACTATAGGAGACTAGAAAATATACTTCTGCCCTTGGAAGATCCCTAAATGTTTTCTGTATATAGAAGACCTATTGAAAACTTCCGTTTATAAAAGATTTGTGAAACCTAGTATGTCTATAAAACACCCTGTTATTTTATCCTTTTACAGAAGTCCTATGGAAGGCTATGCTACTATGCTACAACCTCTGTCTATTGAAGAAATCAAAATCTGTCTATAAAAATGTCTAGACCATCTAGATGTCCTTCTCTCTCTCTCTATTTCTCTCTTTAGAAGACCTTTGCTGTCTATAGTAAAAACTATGATTTCAATGGAACTCCTCCATTACGTCCTCTCTCTACAGAATGCCTTTAGAAGCTTTTCTTCCTGTGAAGGTCATTCTATCTCTATGATTTTCTGTCTGGAAAAGTCCTCCAGCAGGGTTTCTCTATATAGAGAAACTTTTGAAGGTCTTCTTTCCGTGAAGGAGCTTTATACCGATATAAATGTACATAATTTTTCGTACACTAGTAGTCCAGAAAATTTTCGCAGATGCATCCTCATATCTAATAATATTTTCTCTCTTCAGAAGACCTTAAGAGCTTTCAGTTATAATTTCTATGGAAAACCTCTAGCAAGTTCTCTGTCTATAGGATGCCTCTAGGTGATCTTCTGTCCATGAGAAAGTCTGGTCTATTGACTGAAAAATATTCTTCTGCCTTTATAAGAGTTTCCCCTTATAAGAGTTTCTTTTAAGGAAAAGACTCCAGAAGGGTTTGTGTCTTCGGAAGAACTTTCAATTTCTGTGGATAATAGTTTGAAGGTATCCTGCCTGTGGATGATCTCTGGAAGGACGTTTGTCTATATAAGACCCTAACAAGATCCTGACAAATGCATCCTCGTAACTAAATTATGTTTTATAATAAATATAAAAAATAGCAACAATAACAAAAATAATAATACATTTTAAGTTATCCAATTAATTGTAACATATCGTTGTTGTTGATGGTGGTGGTGGTGGTGTTGTTTTCAAGCTTGTTAGCTTAGTGTGTCGGTCTATTTGTACTGTGTGTATGTGTGTGTCCGTCCAGCCGTCGGTGTTTTCATTTTGTCTGCTTACCCCAAATAGGTTTTCGTTGTTTGCGTTAAGAGTAGGACACCGCCAATGATGCCGACAACGGCTGTTATGCCGGCCACCAGGTTATTGCAACGGATCGGTGGAAATTCCACAATATGCATGTGATTACGCATTTCGTTGGTGTTGTTTTTGTTGTAGTTGTTTTTTTCTTGTTTCTCTTGCTGTTGTTGTTGTTGTAGTTATGCTGTAATAATTTCTTAATTTGGTGTGAGGTTTTCTATTTCTTCACTTGTTTTGGTTTTGCACTTTTTCTTTCACTTAACTTTATTTTTTAGCAAAAAACTAAACTATTTTTTGTTTTGTTTATTTATTTTTCTAACTTAATACACTTTTGTTACACATAATATTTTGCTATAACTATACAACTTTGTTTTTTGTTAGACTCTATAGGAAAAAAAAACGTATTTTTATGGATCAATCACATGTCATTTTTTTCTGTTTGCAAAGGTGTGTGTGTGTTATTTACAAATTTATCTTCGCTTATTTATTTTATTTATTCTGTGTTAATTATTTCACAATTAGCTTCGACCGCTCCGATCGTCCGTTTTTTGTATTCTTTTGACGAAAACCCGTCAACGCCTCTTCGAACTTGTTCGTAAGCGGTTATCACAATATCTGATATTTAATAATTTTTTGGCTGTTTAACTTCGTTTGCCTTCTTTAGGTCTCTTGGTTTGTTCAATTTTTTTTTGGGGAATTTCGCTGAAGGTTACCCTGGCTTTGTAAATAGGGTTCGTGGTGGTGGTGCTTATCTTGGCTTTGCATCACTTTTTTCAGTGTTCAACAATTTTTGCTGTTTGGCATACTTTAACCGAGAGATAATAATCACTCACTCATATAATTTGCCATAGTTTGTTATCGTTAATATATTTTTTTCATTTATTTTGATAAGTCCTAACTCTGTGTATAATAGGTTGAAACGAAGGAAAATAAAAAAAAAAACGGAAAAAAAGTAAATTATGAATATTTTTTGTTTGAGAGGCTTGGCTGATGATGGCAGACTGTTTTTGTTTCGGTTTACGAGTTCAAAGATTTATCGGGGCTCAGAAGGGGGTCCAATTAATTAAGTAGAGAAATTTGTTATTAATAATTCGATCCTTTAATTAAAATTTCAATAAAAAGAAATCCTCTAGAAGGTTTGTAGTAGACTTGTCGAAGATCTATAGAAAAGTCGTATGACAACAGAAGACCTATAGAAGATCTTATGTATAGGGAAGACTTCTGGTAGCTGCTTTGCTATAAAATAGCCCTTGAAGTTATTCTTTTTTTAGAGAATCTTTGAAGGACTTCTAGAAGGTCATACTACTACACTAGACGACATCAAAATCTTTAGGTGGCCCTCTTGTAAAATAAGTCCTCTAGAGATACTTCTTCCTCTCCTTCTCTCCCTTTTGAAGTTCTACAGACCTTAACTCTCTATAGAAGATATCCAGAAGCTATGCTTTCTACGGAAAATCTCTAGTATGTCCTATGCCTTAAAATGCTTTTTTATAGTTCTTCTGTCGATATGAAAAGCTTTGACTAGAAAATTCTTCTGTCTTAAGAAGATTCCTAGAATATTTTCTGTATATATGAAATCGTTTTAAGATTTTCGGTTTGGGCTTCAGTACATTTTTTGTCTATAGCAGAAATTTTGAAGGTATTCTGTCCATGGATGATCTCTGGAAGTATTTCTGTCTATTGAACACTCCGATAAAATATTCTTTCGGTATACAAGACAACTACTGTCTATAGAAGATCAAGTCCTCTAAAGATTCCTCTCTCTCTCTGTCTTTACAAGACCTTTAGATCTTGCATGTTTTTAGAGCATCTGAGGATTACGTCGTATGTCGAGTTTATAATTTGCATTGATACGTGTCCTTCGATTTGAAAAAAAAAATCGAAAACTATTTAGGTAATTTTGACTGTACAGTGTAATTCAAAATAAGGGTATTTACGACGAACCAAATTCTATTTCTAATGCGGAACAAAGGATTCGAGTTCATGACCCAGAAGGAAATAGGATTCCCTTACTCCACTAATAGATTTCTATCTTTGGAATAACGAACAATTGCTGTTTTGTTTCTAATCTAAAATTTTTAATAGTTCTTTACTTTTTTAAAATTATATTTTTTTAAATTTCATTTTTTTGTTTTTTTTTTCATTCCACCCCATTAAACATTTGACTAAATAGTTTCCACTAATTAATTGTTCATAGTTTTAAATTTAGGTAATTTTTTGTTTTTCAAATCTAATCTGGTGTAGCAAAAAATGGAACGTGCACTCCTTATTGTACGCTTAGATTTGATGAATATGATTTAGATTTGAAAATTATTCAGGTGTATATATGTACATTGGGATGTGCCGAAATTCAATACTCAAAAAGTCAAAGGAAATTACAAATTTCTCAATAATATATTTTTTTTTTTTTTTGCAGAATATAAAATGCGGATTTTATTGGCCCGAATAGGCAATCTACTCTGCCAGAAGTTGTATGTTAACTGGTAAGTCAATATATAATTTGTAACTTGTGTCACAGCATCGCGGATAGGAACAAACAAAATTCCCAAAATGGTTTGGATGATTTTTTTTCTGAAATTCCCATATTTTTGAACCTTGTTCTATCGAATTGACTTGATATAAATAGAAATGTTATGGATTGTGTCCACCCCAATAAAAAATGTTTTTCGTTTTCCGATTACTAAGCGTACACAAAAAATGATTGAATTAGACATTATCTTGAGAGGTGAAGGAGGAGGTATTTTTGATAAGTGAATTATGACCTTGGAGATTAAAATGTCTTATACCATGACCATTATTAGGCCCCAATAAACGTATATAATATTTGTTTTGATTTATTATACCGAGTTCTAAATGTGATGAACTTTATTATTTTGTTAAACTGTTTAATTCAAAAGCGTTTTAACGGACAGACTTAGAGTACTAGTCAATATAATATTTTATCGAAAACACACCCAAATAAGAAATAATATTTCAGTCCAAAGTGTGTGTTTTCATGTTCATATATTTACATTCATGTATGGACTATATCCAATAATACCTCTTCGATTCAATTTTCTCTCTCCCCTTCTATTTCTTATCAAGTAAAAAAACGTTAATTATTTTTTAATATTTAAAAAATATATATAATAATATTGTCATGTAATTTATTATTGTCTGTCAGTTGTTATCTGTCACATTTTTTCCATTATTAGTATCTTTTTGAACTGATATCGGACAATGCCAAAAATAATTTGAAATGACTTTTTTCAACACAAAACAAAATTCCATGAATGGACAAAATGAGAAAGAAAACAAACAACAATAAGCCGAAATGAAAACTAACCGACTACAAATCATTGATAGGAATTGATTGATTACAAGTAATTGGCTGGACACCAATTAAAGGCGGGGTAGACAATGACGTGGTCGTTGACCACAAGCTGTTGTCGTTGCTGATAGGCATTAGTGAAGTGTGAATATGCAAAAAGAAGAAAAATAAATTGCTTGTTTCAATTTGTGTGTTATATAATATTAAGTAAATATTTAGATTTTGTATTAGGTTCGGATACATAAAAATCCCACTAAAATTAAAAAATAACTGAGTTGCGATTTTCCAGTGCCATCCATTGTTTATTTTTTTGTGACAATATTATTGTTTTTGTTATTTTTACAGTATGCAATTCGAAATATTTTTTTTTTACTCTTTTACACACTCCATGCAATAAAAATGTAAAAAAATGTTTTCATAACATTGAAGGCCACAGTTGTTAGATGGTGAATCTGAATTTTCAAGGACATGTTGATGGTTATAAAAATAGTTGCATTCTCTAATTATGATGTTTTATATTTTTACAATAAAAATTTTAAATATTAACATGTCTACAAAATATGTTGAGCATATCTACCTACAATTTTTGAATAATAAATATTTTTTTAGCATTAAGTCACGAGAAAAGCTGAAAAAAATTGAAAATAAAATGGTGCCTATTCTCAATCAATAATTTCAACATTTTTGATGTTATTTTACGAATATTGATTGCATTTATTGAAATTTTTAAGAGCCACGAACATATTGATTTACCTTTGAGAATTTTTTATAAAAATATATTTTCCAATTTCACCATTCAATATGCAATCGTTGTATTGTTTTTTCTGGCTTAGACACTCGAGAACAATAGTTACCTAATTATTGATTGGCTTGTTGTACCTTTCCACTTGGAAAACATGCGTTCTAATATGGCTTTTTTCGTTAAACCCGGTGTAAACAAGCCGATATTACACACATTTTATGAAGCTTAAAAATATGAATTGAAAAAAAATCAATAATTCAATAGAAGAGTGCGAAAGAACTAGAACTAGTGCGGACTAGAAATGGATAATTTCATGCAACAAAATCGATAACGTTCTGAAACTCCTGAGCATCATTAAATGAAAGTGGCTGAAACTCATTTTATACAAAAACACTTGTAGAATAAAACTCGAATAACACTACAAGAATTTCTTCAACAAAGAAATATTTACCTATGGTGTTCAAAGCTTTATAGAGTAAAATATTGTTTTGTGTTTTTGTATTTAATATTATTTAAACGTATAATATTATATAATTTTATAACAAAAAGTATATTTATTGTTTGCCATACTCTTGAAATTTCAAACTCATTATCGGCTCAGAGGTCTTCTTGTTAGAAAAGATGTTTTTATACTCTCAGTCATATGAAATATTGGGTTTAAACCCCAGGTTTCTTTTGACCAAATAAGAGAGTTTGGAGTCGATTGACCATCGTCATCTGACTGCCTATCTGCTTGTTTTGTGAATATGGAGCCTATCATTATGGTTCCTCCCTTACAAGGTGTAAACATTTTGACCTGTGTAAATATCATATGACACTGATTCGGTTTCCAATTTGATCCAAACATTGCACAGAGGAATATTTTTATCAATCCCAGATCAATCTAATCCTATCGGTACACCAACACAAGTGGTCTTATCTTTTAAACATATATCGATAAACAAATAAACCATTAATTTTTTGATCAGATCATAACGGTTCATTCTAGGCCCGATCTCTTATATATAAATTAAAATCAAAGACCTTCAACAGGTCTTCTATAGAAAGAAGACCTTCAACAGGTCTTCTATGGAAAGAAGACCTTCAACAGGTCTTCTATAGAAAGGAA